TATATATATATATATATATATATATATATATATATATATATATATATATATATATGTATAAAATATGAATAACTTCTAAAAAAGGAAAATTTAAATACGTGTAATTTCGATGTTTCTAATTATTTATAATCGATGAAACAATAACGAGAGAAAATTTATATAGAACGACTCGTCGTCCATCGAAGAAAAATAACGAGAAGTTTGTCTGAAGTATAAAGTAAAAATTTACGCCTCGAGATGACGCTAAGAGCCGATATGGTCGATAAGAGAAGTGCAAGCGAGACATCTTTAGTTGTAAATTGAAAACAAAAACTTTTACGATTATGATTATTGGTCATAATTCATGATTTTCTTCACGATTATTATAAATAATATTCGTAAAAAATAAAGAATGGAAGAATTAATTGCAATAACAATTATAAATCGAGGACGAAATAAAAGATAACGGGATATGGTAAGAATTTCGCGAATTTCACTGTTGAAACTAAACCGTTCAGAGTTTTCGAATTAAATGATATCAATAATAAATCGAGTTTCACGATTGATCGTTATAACCACATCCGAGAATTAAATTCAAGTAATAATATTATCTTCTCCACTCTCTTCTCGCGTAATATCCCGAAATATCGATCGGCTGTGTACGTAAAATAACTTTCGCATGGCCTCTAAACTTCCATTTTAAAAAATTTTACTCTTCACGTGACTTTCAAATGACCCCACAAGTGACCTTGATCTTTTGACCTTTCGAGTAATACGAAAGAAGAATCAAAAGAGATAATAATGCAAATAATAACAGATGTTCAATTGCCCGTAAGACAATTGTATAAAGCATTTTTCTTTAATAATAATCTCGTCAACAGTTGAATTTTCCAATTAATTGATCAAAATAATCGATATTCCGAATATTTACGCGTATCGAAATCCAAACTGTTAGAGCATCCACGTATCGTTAAACAGCGAGCATTATTCTCGACATATGTAAATTTATACTTTCAACGGTCGCATAATCTCGCGATATTCGACTCGGCCAATTTAATCGAGAACTTAACCTAATCCATTTCAACTAATTTACAAGAATAGCTTGTCTGAATTCGATTTGACAAATGATCCCTTCCTTTCCGTCGTATAAGTTCGATAACTCGATCTCGATAACAAATGCCAGCCGATTGTCGTATCGACTCGGTCGATACGTACGTGTGCCATGCGTCACGTGGAGGTTTTTCGAACGGTGGCAAACTTCATAGGAGAAACGATACTTCAAAATCGAGACGATGTCTGCTATATGTCTCGATATATCGATCATACGCGTATCTTTATACACGTATTTCACTTCCACCAGAGAGTACATTTTCCCGAATAATTCGATCGTGTTTAGTCGTTCGTTTGCAATCGAGCTAACTTCATTGGCAAACGCGAGGAGGAACATTCGTATCGAAGTTTACCGTGCGGCTTGAATTTGGCTAAATTCATCGAAACTCTGTGTCAATTTCGATCAACCTTCGTTAAACTCGAAGGAAATATTGCGAACCGCGTATCGCATCGATCCAGTTTCTTCGATGTTCGATTCATCCATCGATTCGTCGTCATACCGTGGAAACAAACCAATTCGATACGAACTAATTCGAAATACGTTTATTTCTTCTTCTTCTTCTATCGATTAACCAATCGATACGATTTGTTTGATTTCAGACACCAATTCTACTTACACTCTCGCCTCGAGCTCCTCGAAGGTAGACTAAAAGCGGCGGATTGGAGTTCGGTGGTGCGTTTGGTTGCTTGGATAGCGCAGGCTGATATCGGTGATTATGACCCATTGTCGCCACCGAACGCGCTCTACTCCCAATGCTGTCAAATTCAACCTGTGGAACGGTGTGAATCGAAACCGCAGGACCTTATTCACCGGATAGTACAACAACACAAGGAAATGAAGGTGATTCCGCCGCATCGGATCATTCTCAAAAATTTTTCAAAAAACACGGTTGTAAAAATATAACGCAATACGAAATAAATTTACTTATTTATTTGCATCCTCTGTTAAGGGAATGAAACCTTCCACGGCGGAATATTGGTTGTTAAAAGAGGTGTCTAATTTGGATACGTTCGGCCAGGAGATGTTTCACAACACTAAATTTGGGTACAACGGAGTGTCGATGATCGGAGTCGGGCCACACGGTATCACGGTTTATCGTAATCGCGACGAAGAAACGCAAAAGTACGTATTAAAGCTTACGTTCTTGGCCAACTTGATTCTCGATAGAAATTGGTGAATCGAATAAATGTGTTTCGAGAAACGCACAGGGATTATTCTCGATAAAGAGAACGGTCTGCTCTCGACTTTTTGGTTATCTCTGCTGCTACTTTTTACTTTTGGCGTAACAACAAAGTGTATTTTTCTTTGTTTCACAGCATACCGTACACGGCGATACAGAGCGCAACGTCCCAACGTCGAATGTTCCATTTGGTTTATCTTTCCCTCGATGGCGAGGAGACATCGTTAAATTTCAAATTAGATTCGAGTCAATCCGCCAGCGGTTTGTATCGTGCGATCACCGAGAAGCACGCGTTCTACAGTTGCGAGACAGTGAGGAGCGCGGTCACCGCCCAATTTATACGCGATTTGAAGGTAGTACTGCTTGCTTATCTGCTCGAATATCATCATTATTCGATTCGATTGACTGCTTCTTCTTCTTCAGGGCACTATAATCTCGATATTCAACGAGGACTCGACGTTAGGAAAGAAATACGTGTTCGACATACGTAGAACGTGTCGAGAGGTGTACGACAATGCGCGGCGAGCTCTATACTGCGAGGCTGCGACCGTCACTCTGCCAGAGGAAAAGGAAATTTTGGAGAAGCACGATTGCGGGGATTGCGAGGAGCCTAAATGCAAGGTATCGAACAATCGATGAAAAAAGAAAAGAAAAGAATAATTTTTTAATATCGTCCAACTTTGCAGGAATCCCGAGAATGCCTGGCAAAATTACTGGACGCGATGCTGTGCCGCATTTGCATGGATCGCAGTTTCGACACCGCCTTGTTTCCGTGCGGACACGCGGTCGCCTGTTTGGATTGCGCCAGACGGTGCGAACGTTGTCCCCTCTGTCGTGCCGATATCGACCATTGTCGGACGATATATCTCCCGATCGAGTTAACGCACGTCGATAAGCACAATCCAAAATTGCTCTCGGAATCCATCGAGCCTAGTTACAGCAATTCTTCCGCGGAGGAGATTCAAAAGAGAGTTTTGGCAAGCGAAAGCTCGATGGTAAACGATAATGATATTTGAGAGCATCGCCATACCAAATTCGACACGTTTCAAAAGTTCTTCTTTAAAATTTTTGCTTGTCAGATTGTTGCGAAAACGTTGCATTGAGTTTCTCTCTCTCTTGACTCGTTCACTCTCGCATTACTTTCTCTACCTCTTTTTCTATCTATCTATATATATATATATGTATGTAATTATTTTTATTATCTGTCTTTTAAATTTGTTATTTTTCTCTTTTTTTAATCTATGTTATGTATTTGGGAAAATTGAGTTATTTTTCTTTTGGACGCGTGTTGGAAATCGTTAAATAATCGTTTTCTTGCTGGTATTTTGAATTCCTGAAAAAAAAAAAACATTATTTTCCGGACATCGTGAAATATTACGCGTTTCCGCAGCAATGAAAGAATTATTCATCCTTCTTATTCTATTATCGAATTTTTTCCTTCTCTTTGCTTATTGCTTTTTTTAATATCTCTTTTTAATATTATAAAAATTTAAATAATTCGTTGAAACTGTGATGAAGAAACGCGAGTTCGTCGATAATGTTTATGAAATTAGGGTTCCATTTGTTTGAACTATATTTAAAGGATGAACAGTTTGTGTAAGTAGAATTGAAATTAAAAAAACGAGATTTAAACGAGATAGAATTTTTCATATTATCAAGTAAATGGATTCGATCGGCAAGAATTCATGAAATAAAAATAAATGGAATCCTATTATATTATCGTTTAGACATTTATCCAACTATTTATAATAATATTAAAAATGTTAATAATAATAATAATGTTACTATGATACTTCTTAATTGAATAACAACGATTATATTATATCGATACTATTTTTTAATTGTGCGACCGAAAAGTGCTATTAGCAGCATTGATCTTTGAAAAACAATGCTGTTGTTATTTTCAAGAAAAACTAGTACAATTCGTTTCATTGTCAAAATTTAATGCATCGTACTACATAGGTTTCTTTTTCTTTATTTTTAACGACAATCGGACCAACGATTTTTTTCCCCCCTTTTTTAAAATAACAGTTGTTTACGATATTTTCTTGATACTTTTGTTCCTCTTAGATATAATGTATAATTCTTTTTTTTCTTATATGTTTCAACTTTCTCTTAGATATAACGTCAGGGCATTGGGGTGAAGATTTTTATTAAAACCAGTGACCCTAACGTGACTGTATTTTTAATATAATGTGCGTTATTCATTATGCAGAATCGTTTACAAAACGACTGCTATAATATTTCTTTTTGTAGAGGATGTTTCATTTAAAAGGAACTTAAATCTCAGATCGTTTCATGTTACCCTTTACACCATAGTGCAATGAAGTTTTGTTTATTGAAATGAAGAATTGTTTAAGTAAAAAAAATTAATATTTTTCCAATTATGTTCTCATTATGTAATGTATTTGTAGTAATGTACTTGACCATGTATGAACCATTCGATGAACCAACTACAATGGATAACGTGCTAGAAATTGTTCCTTTTCTGAAGCATCTTGTACAAGAAGGAAAACTTGTTACGGTAATATCTGTTTATATGTACATAAGAAATGAGATAACCCACGATAGGGTCAAGCGACTAAAGGTCACGAGCTCACCAAATGTCAAATCTGATTTATCAAACTCAGTGCAAATCGTCTTTTAAGTAAGAGAGTCGTAATTAAAGAAATACGTATATATGTATTTATATATACATTTGTATATATACATACATGTATATATATATATATAAATATACATATTAATCGATGTATTTTACATGCAAGAGATAATTAACATGTTATCGATGATAGTTCGTTTCCAAAGGAGTACATGAAAAAAGGCTGTTTCCGTATCGAAAGAAAATAGAATGAAAATATTATTGTATTATTTATATATTATCTTTTGACAAGATAATTCATTCTTCTTTCTCATCCTCAACCGTTTTATCGTTATCATCATCGAAAACTCGGTGTATCAAGGATGCTTGACTAACATTTATAAATAGCATTTCATGAGTTTTGGATGTATGTTGAAATGAAGAGTACTAAGGAGAATGAAAGACAAAGAAATTATTATAGTCATTCATCAATGCAAAACAGATCTAGTTTATAATTATTTATAAGAAAAGAGATAATAGCATAAGGTAATAACGTGTAGTCGTAACGTAATCCCCTCTTTTCTTGACATTTTTAGCGCTTTATATCTTAAATTTCATTTAATTTCTTTGATATTTTTGTATATTGTTGTTAAGAAAATGGTGATTACGCTGCTTCTCTAAGTCAAATATCGATTCGAAGAATTCTATAAAAATGCAAATGTAATAGATTAAATTAAAAACATCAAGATTAAATTCAAAGAGAATAGAATTATCAAAATTAAGATAGTATATTGGTGCAATATCGTATGATGTATTTTTACATCATAAACAGAAATAAAGATACTTTTTTTTTTTCCAAATTTTCTAATTATATTATTGACAATTAATGTTAGCTTTTACTATCTAAACTAAAACATGGTTCCGAAAGCAAAGCTATGAAAAAGAATTTTATAAATACAATAAATACAACTGATAATTTATGGTCTTAAGCATAAAAACGATTTGTACCACCGCTATACGTTTATTCGATATTTGTAAGTTTAATAATAATTATAAGAATAGCACTGTTATAGTAATAAAAACAAATATTTGTGATTAACTTTCTGTATAAATGCGGAAAAATTAAAAATCAAGTAGTTGTTAGATCTGGATAATAGGAATGAAAGATATATATGGGAGAGAATGAATTTCTAAGAATTATCATTTGCAAAGAGTATTTTTAAAGTATTTCCAATTATTTTTAGTATTATATCAGGATATATCCACTATATATAGTGGTGTACACATATGAGAGATCAATACACTCTATAAAACTAATTTTTAGCATTATAAAGATACATTGTCCCAACCTGTTGATTAAATACTATAAAATATCAATCGTTGTATGCCTTTTATTCGTATTTATTCCATGCCTGTTCCCAATTCTTAAAAAATGCAAATGAAAACATTGCTTTCATACTATCATATCGAAATTACTTTGATGGTATCAATATGTAAGTAAATATAACATGATAAGTACAATATGTTAGCTATTAAGTTGATTATTTGCTCAATATTTTTATTATTTTTAATGAATTATGTTAAATGGAAAGTTCAATGTACATATCGTACTGCTCGCAAGATTAAATTGATCTTTTATTTCCTTATTTTTTATTTTGATAATTATGTTGATATATAAATAATATCACTGATAGTTTTAATCTTACGACGTAAATAAATCAAAAGTTTGAAATTAAAAATTTAATGACAAACGTATTATATAATTAAAAAAATATAAAATAAGTAGACCTATTATTGGTTGGTTATTTTATTAATAATTTAATTTTTTAATTATTTAAATATACGTTTTGTATTTTAATATACTTTAATCAATTTGGACAATTTATAGAATTCTATAATATTATTTTAATGATATTTAAGAAATAATTTGTATCGTAATTTAAATTTACGTTAATTTATATTTCAAAATTCTTTATATAATAATTATGAAAAAGGAAAATAAAACAAATAACAAATAGTAAATGCTAGCGATAGAAATTAACATATAGTTTAATGAAAAAATTTTAAATTTGCCGCCGAATTATACCGAGTGGCAGTTGAATTAGAAGTTGTTTTATCTGCGCATGCGTTTTAGATTATGATTGGTTGACGCAGCGGCATTGTCATATGACGAAGCTGCGTGGCATCATGGGAAGCAGATCGCAATTTTGCAATATGGCGGTGAATTGAGCCAAAGTCGCGGTGCTGTGCCATCAGAAAATGTATTTTTCATAGTCGCGCAACGTCTTTTATTATACTCTTTATGTATGCGACAGTGTAATACGGATTCGGGTCGCGTTAGACGATACACTGTGCATGTAAATATGAGTGTAACGAAGCACAACGTTATTTCGAAGGTGACACCCCGCAACTCGGTGTGGTGCTCGACCACGTATGGCAGAGACTAGAATCCGAGATAAGGAAGCTCTGCTTCGCCTAAGTAATATACGTATCGCAAATCAAAATTACCACCAAAAAGTAGCGATGTGGTGGTTACCCATCCCGAACTGTGAAAACGTGAGTGTTCTATATAAAACATAAAGTGTGCATACGAAAGTGCCTGTGGGTGCGTATTTCGGTAGCGAGGAGAGTGTACGGATGCCTTGTCTATGATCCCTTTCCAATATCCCTTTTCTATATTTCTTCCCATGATTTTATTGTAAATATTCTTGCAATTTCGTTATAAATTATTTTAATCTTAAATTATAATATTAAACTAAATTTCAATCACGAAAACTTTATTGTACAACTCGGTTCTATTGAGTATGCCACCATTGCATTAAATATTTTTGATCAGTATGTTATTTCCATCCTTTTTACAAAAAAGATAGAGAAGTGTTCTATAAAATTAATAACGGTTCTTTATTTTTTAGTAGTAACTGTATTCTCATCATTGAAAAATGCATAATCCGATCGATTTGTTCGATAATGCTTACCTTTGAGCTTTGCTCATGTTTCATCCTTACCTATGCTCAAATTATATTCCACACGAAATCGTTATGAATACGTCAAATGAAACGGTTTTTCGCAAATTTTTTTCCTATTACCGATATCCGAAAAACTGTTTTATGGTCGGTGTCGGTAAACGTCGATGTAGCAACGCTCCAAAAATACCACATGTTACGGTATTCTAAAAGCATCGCGCGTTGCAATGCTTCACTAACGATAAGAGTGTACTACGGGTAACAATACGTTGTATTTATTATTTGAAATAACGATTTTACAAAAATATTATTTCGATAATATAATTTAATTTATTGATAGATTAAAAATATATCGTAGTATTTCATAATATTTTTCAATCGGTACATTTCAATTATTTTTGTTAATATTTTAAATATTCGTGATGGTACATGATTAAAACAAGGGATTGTAAGACTTATAAAGAATTGATTTAAATTTAAATCAGGTATAATCGCAAAATGAATAATTTTTTGAAAATAAAAAAAAATTGTATTTTTAATGACAATTTATTGATCTATCAAGTTATTAATAAATATTAAGTAATTAAATAAATTTATTTTCATTTGCTTTTTGCAATCACATTTTTTCCTGCACAAGCGAAAAATAGAGGTTACAGATGTATCAAATAAATTCATTAGCATACAATAAAGTTCTTCAAACTAGTTTTAAAATATATTCTTAGCATCCTTTCATAATCCTAATCCTCCATATTTCATATTATGAGGCATCAATTGCATGTATATGAGTCATTGCTATTACATTTTTATTGTATAATGCCAATGCAAAACTTGTGACTAATTGATTATTTTTAATTTTTCAGATATTTGCAAAATTCAAACATTTTATCAATCGTTGTAACTTGTGATCGTATATGTGTGCCAAACAAAAATACATAAAAGGGCATTGAAAAGATCCAATGGTTTCCTGACATAATGGAAAGTAAATTATATGTGAAAAATGAGCCGGGACTGGACGGGCAATCACTTGCAAATCAACAAGCGAATCCATCTTCAGAGGATACTAATGGAGCTAGGGTTTGTTTTGTTTGTGGTACGATAGGTCACGGAGAACAGTATTGGCTTAGAGTAAAGCCAAGTCCAGGCGGTGCACCAAATGAACCTTACTTTCCATTTCTTGAATCCCATGAACCACCTGCTGGCTATCGTGGGGAAGGAGCTAGAAGTGGAACAGTTAAGGCATGCAGCCTTTGTTATGCCTTGCTGTTGCAACAATGGGAGAGTTATGAACAGGATGCTAGACCTCATAGCCAACGAATTTATTGGTTGAAACGATGCGATGGCGGTCCTTTTACGGGGGCTGAGATGGCTCTCCAGGGAGAATATGCGGCTCAAGTTCTGGGATTGACCAATGACCAAACCCCGCAGCTCAGACCGGAAAATCGACCAATTGGAATTTCTCCGCGACTTCCTCTAAATTCACCATCGCCTAGAGTGGAACAGACAAGACCACCGTCGAATTCCATTGAGCTGCCAAGGCCACATTCTAACACGGCTGAAACGCACAGACATTTGGAACAAGCAAGGCTTACAATGGAATCTCCCCATCAAAGACTGCAATCGCCGCATCAAAGGTTACAAAGTCCTCGACAGCCTGTGGAAGATTCAAGAATATCAAACGAGGCGGCGTTAGATTTGAGACATGCACCGAGAAGTTCACCTGCGCCACAACCAACTCTACCACCACAACCTCAACGTAAGTTCAAATGTATACCGCGTTGTTGTTCAATTTCATTTGGAAATTGAAACCTGCCCAATATTCTAAATCATCTTTAAACTTCTCCCCTTCGATATCATCAAATAAACTATATTTCAAAATTAAATAATTCAACCAGTAATTATATTTCTTTCAATTAAATTCTATTTATAAATAGTATTACGAAATATGAAATTGATTATAAATTTTGTATTAAAAATAAAACAACAAAATCCGTTTATATATGTATGTATATATATATATGTATTAAATGCATTATTGTAAAATATGTAATAATTATTTATAGCCATTTATAGCGGTGGATCAACGTCGAGTACCGGCACAGATATTTTAGATCTTTCGATGCCAGACAAAAATTCAGTTACGGAAGTTTGTTACGTGTGCGGAGACGAATTCAAAAGAGGGTCACTTAGTCATATTGCAGCAAAACCACTGCCAATCCCACCACATCCTTCTGCTAGTCCCCCGCCATTTTTTCCTTCGCTAATGCTTCATCCAAGGCCAAGCAGAAGTCGACCAATGGATAGCGCCGGTCGTGTCCAAGTATGCTTATTTTTCTTATTGATTTTACTTACATTTTTGTACAAATTTTTATTTATTTATTTATTTTTTCTTTTTACTTCTGTATTTAAAATTTTTTTTGATTTCCAGGCTTGTTCAGCATGTCAAAATCACCTTCTGCTACAATGGAAGGCATATACCCGGCAAGGAGTCCCGCACGGTGATCGAAATTACACGCTTCGTAAACGACAAGCACCTGCCATGGATACAACTACTTTTATTTGTTATACTTGTGCGCTTGAGTACCCTTCGTCCAGTATTAGACTTCTTTATTGCTGTCCTAATCCCGAGAAGGAGGCGTACTACCCTTTTATTTATTCTCTGAGACCTCCACCAGGAGCTAGTCCTATTAGTCCTCAGGGAATGGTGCAAGTTTGCTCCATTTGTTACAAAGCTATACCGCAAAAACAGCAAGTATTTGGTGGAGAAAATCACGAGGCTCAACCGTCTGGGCAGAACGTGGATTTTCGTCAACAAGGTCCTTCTCCAAGACCTGCAGTGGCAAAATCTCCAGCTAATTCTGCCGGTAGTGATATTCGTTTCAAACCATACGATTTGAACAAATCTAGCGTTGCTACGAACAAGCAACGCAGCGCAACCATAAAAGGATCCACTCCAGGACAACGAAACTCTCCTAACAACGGTCCTGCCGAGAATGGAACGGTTGCTCTTGGCCAAAATTATAGGTGCTATATTTGCGAGAGACTGTATCCTCGCTCTCACATGGAATGGTACGATTTTCATTTTTTTCTTGTTCCTTGTTATACATGTTTATGTTTATTGCGCGTTAATCATCTTTTTCTACACGCTTCGTAAACGACAAGCACCTGCCATGGATACAACTACTTTTATTTGTTATACTTGTGCGCTTGAGTACCCTTCGTCCAGTATTAGACTTCTTTATTGCTGTCCTAATCCCGAGAAGGAGGCGTACTACCCTTTTATTTATTCTCTGAGACCTCCACCAGGAGCTAGTCCTATTAGTCCTCAGGGAATGGTGCAAGTTTGCTCCATTTGTTACAAAGCTATACCGCAAAAACAGCAAGTATTTGGTGGAGAAAATCACGAGGCTCAACCGTCTGGGCAGAACGTGGATTTTCGTCAACAAGGTCCTTCTCCAAGACCTGCAGTGGCAAAATCTCCAGCTAATTCTGCCGGTAGTGATATTCGTTTCAAACCATACGATTTGAACAAATCTAGCGTTGCTACGAACAAGCAACGCAGCGCAACCATAAAAGGATCCACTCCAGGACAACGAAACTCTCCTAACAACGGTCCTGCCGAGAATGGAACGGTTGCTCTTGGCCAAAATTATAGGTGCTATATTTGCGAGAGACTGTATCCTCGCTCTCACATGGAATGGTACGATTTTCATTTTTTTCTTGTTCCTTGTTATACATGTTTATGTTTATTGCGCGTTAATCATCTTTTTTCTTTTTTTTCTTTTTTTTTTTTTTTTTTTTTACCGGAAGGTTATCCACAAGCCCAGAGGGAATGAATTCACATGCTATGCATTTTCCATGTTTACGTGGAATGGCACGTACATCAGAAAATGCTTGCATGGATAGTCACGGCAGAGTGTTAGCTTGTAGTCATTGTGTGAATCATCTTGCCCAACAGTGGGAAAGCATGGATGCTGAACGAGTTCCTTTAGAACATCGCAGGTCAGTTGCTCTGTCAACAATGATTTTGATTAAATTTTTCGTGTCTCATTCACTTTATATAATGAAAAAGACTCTATTTCTTTTCTTTCTTTTTTTTTTTTATCAACTTTTTTTTTTCTTAGGTATGATATTCCTAGTCCACATCCAAATGGCGATGTGAATCGATCAATCGCCACCCCACCGAGTTCTAATTCAGATCGAACGTTTGGTAGTAACCCAGGCACATCGAGCAGTTCTATATATTGTTTCTTATGTGGCTTGCATAGTGATTTGACTCTCGCAAGAGTGTTGTATGGTCGCCCTCAGGGCCGTAATGCACCGTTTTTCCCTGAATTATTACGCCATCAGTCTCCACCAAACGCTGAACAACTTAGGGAAGATGGTTCTGCGCTAGTATGCACGTTCTGTTACCATTCTTTGTTGGCGCAATGGCGTCGATACGAATCTCTTCCCAGTGGTCAACAAGTAAATGCTGCAGAGAGGCAATATAATACACATGATTATTGCTGTTACGTTTGTGGTATCACAACGTACAGAAAGCGAGTCAGAGCACTGCTCGTAAAGGATTTTCCCTTCTTGAGGTATCACAGACAGCCTGAAAAGAGCCTTTTATTGGAAAACGGTGATTTCGCTGTGGTCTGTTTGGATTGTTACGAGACATTGCGCACTCAAAGCCTTGAATACGAACGATGGGGCTTACCCGTTGAAAAACGCGAATATAATTGGATAGTGCAACCTCCGCCACCAGAGGATAGTCCTGATGCAGCTGTCGCGAGATTGCCATCTGGAGAAAGGTCCGAGAAGGTGGTAAGTCATTTCTTAATAATTACAATTTATGAATTATGATTAGAACAATTTATTAATATAGATTAATTATATTTCTCGTAGGTTCCATCGACTTTAACGGTTAAACCTGCACGAAAAAACTGTTCACCGAAGGCACCGGATAAAAAGGTTCCGACAAAGGTTCCAGAAAAAGAACAAGGTAAGTGGAAAATGTTTTGAATCGAACAAAATATAAATTTTGCGTTTTATTTTAATTTAATGTGTACATTCAAGATACATATTTACGGAATCTTCTTTCTTTCATTTATGACTCTATGTATGTATACCTGTACATGTATAAAATAATCATCCATACAAGTGTTTTAGATAACGTGTTATGTGGTCAAACATTCGCCAGACCCGTTTAGGTTATCGGTTTATATTTGAACATTATCTCATTCATAAACGTTACTTTTTTCAAGTTATCTAAGTCGAGTACGTTAGCTCTTGTGTATGTTCTTTTTTTTTTTTTTTTTTCCTCCATTTTTCTAATTATTCTTATTACTATTAGATTATAGTTTTAGTTGACCAATACTGCTTCATTGAATAATAATATATAATATATATTACTTATCAAGATCGATATAATAATTTATACATTCCGGGTATCATAAAAAGAAGAAAGATGGAATATATAAAAGTTTCTCACTGCTTTTTTGATGTGATTCGAATAGATTTCTAAAATGTTTAAACGTGCGCATTTTTCTCAAGAATTCTCCTGCTGATATTATAGTCCATAACATTTCTGTTTTCTTTTCTTTTTATCGTTCTGACTTACCAAACATGTATGCGCTCTCGTATCAAAAGGTAAGTTTCTCCGAGTTTGCGTCGTGATCGTATAACACATTGCGCAGGCGTTGCCATTTAGAAGTCGTAAACTTATATTTGAGGCGAACCTCGAAACGACCTTTCTATTTTCGAAGATACAATAATATTCGAAATAATCTTTTTATATATTATTTTTTTTTATTAACTTACAATTGCTCTAACAAATGCGACATAATTACATAACTTAAACTGCGTATTTAAATCTCGGAAAAAAAAAAAATACATGTAACACACGTACAATTTGCATAATTATTGCGAACAAAATAATACGAATTATTTGCTTCGAGATATTATTGATAAAATACGATAATAAAATAGTTGCAATTTTGATTCGAAAAGTTAAAAGTTGGAAAAAAAATTACAATTTAAAAGAGATCGCAATCGCCCAAGATCAGAAGGTCGATTAAGGTCGGTCGATCTGGCTTAGACGAGGTAGAGATAGATGGTTGGAGATGTTGGTGGGACTTAACGCGGTGGTTTGGTAGACAGGGTGGTAGTGAGCTCGTGAAAGGGGGTAAGTGGAGGAGAGCGAAAGCAGGAGGATACGATGGAGAAATAGAAGGAGGGATTGAAAGAGAAAGAGCAAACGCCCGCAGCGTGACACCGCATTGCGCCCACTTGCCAACCCGCCCAACACCTAAATTCGAATTAGGAAAGCCCTGTCGTTTCTCGTCAACACAACTCCCCCTATTCTGGTAAAACGTACAGGCAAGCCATCCTCTACTTACATTATCTCTATATATAGAAACGATAGAGAGAGAGGGAGAGCGTGTGGAGGAAGAAAGGAAGCACGAAGACAAAAAAGGGGATACGTTCGTGTGTATGCGACGAGCACGCTTATATACGTGTGTATGCACGTGCGCTATACATGTATATGTACAGTCAAGTTCTATCCTTTACGACCCTCCTTTGCTCTCTTGCTAGGAAAGCAATCAGAGGGAGAGAGGTGAAGAGCTCGTTTTCCTCTTCCTTTGGGAATCGATATCAACGTTATCGACTGCTTTTCTCTCGCTCCTTGTCGCTCGAAGTTTCATCGGGGCTGCTCACGTATTCTCGGTAGGCGTGCGGCCAAAAGGCTCGATTTTGGCGCACATTCTCTGTTACGAGATCGGTGCCAAGTCTCGGTTTAAACGATCTCGCTTTCCTTATTTTCGTGTACTTTTTTTTTCTTTCTTTTTTTTTTTTTTTATTTGATGATTGCACGTTTTCGATATTTTATATTCTTTTCGAGAGATGAAGATTATTGAGAAAAGAGATCGATTTTTTTCGACTCTTGAAGTTTCTATACGTCTACAAGATACGTTTCATCACAAAGTCGTTTTTAATCCGATAGATGATATTTACATTTTGATAGGTCACGGGTTAATGCCACGCGGCTATATATCCGTGCATCTACACGCGCCCTCTTAACGCATTGCATGTGGTCCCTCTGTCGGCCCGTGTTAATAATTAACCATTCCGACTAGCGTGGGAGTAGCTTTGCCTACCTCTCGCGGCCACCTCGTTTTATACCGAGTAATATTCTAGTTACTAGCTCTCTCTTTTGCTTACCGATGCAAGCTAACTGTAAAATTCGCGTAGAAAGCTAAATTCGATCGTTTCTTTTTTTTTTTCTTTTTTTTGAATTCGTTTCAAAAATTTTGTTTCAAAATTTTGGAAATCTCGTGAAATTACGATTAATCGGAAATTTTCATTGCGTTTATATTTTAACGAAAAATATCGATTTTTTAATATTAATAATAATAATCGAGCGCAATCAACACCGGATTACCGGTTAATCACGTTTTAAGAGAGGCAATATAAATGCAAAGATGCGTCAAGTTCGTTCAAGGTGAAAACCTTGATAAAAATAGTAGAGCTTATTAGCCCGTGGGGAGTTAGCAGTGTCTTTGTGAAGGTGAAAGAGGAAAGGAGAAAGGGGAAGCGGGAAATGGGAAAGGGAACAGGAACCGTAACGCGGCCGGGAATGGTAGTGGTGGGTTGAAGCGAGGGTGAGCATGACCAACCGCGTTTGTATATCCGGAGATTCGCAGCAGGATACGAACGAAAGGTAGAAAGAGAAGAGAGAAGGCTGCGAGAGGAGGACACGCGAGAGAAGAGGGTTGGTTACGGCACGGGTAGAGGTGGAAGAGGATAGCATGTCATGAGGGAAGAAGTACGAGAGGGGAGGGGAAGTTCTCTGTCGCCGGCACGCATTGATTTTGCTCGACAGACAGCCGCCTGTTGGGTTCTCTGACTCAGGGATCTAACTTTGCTGTCGCTCGCATACCGTCTTTCCATCTTTCTCGCCAGCCTCTTTTTTTCTCTCTCTCTCTCTCTTACTACGAAGCCTCCACTGTTACTCGTTTTGCCCGCGTCTATCGTGTTTTATTCCTTCTCTTTCTCGTATCGAACATTTAATGCAAAACTTTGATCCACACAGAATAGAAAATTTATCTTTTCATTTTATCACGTTGATACTTGTTGCTGTTGTATATGAGCGTGTTTTTCGATCATCATTAGACGAATGTTATTGATTCGATTTGTAATTATTCGAATCGATTTGAAAAAATAAGCTTAATTAAATCGACTATTAATAATATCGTATCATATGATTTCGATATTATTAATAGTCGTCTCTGCATATACATGCATTATCTATTTCTCTCAATCGGTATCTCTATCGTTCCCTGTTTCGTTCCGCGTCGCGAAAAGGGAGGATTAATTACACATCGAATGCGAAATGTCGTTCGACGTGGGAACGAGCACAAGGGACATATTGCATGTCATGGAATCCTATAATGTAACGTGAAGTTAATTACTTATCGAAATGTTGTGATCGAAAGCGTCTTACACGATGTACATATGTGATATTTTATCGGTCTTTAAATATTTTACGACAAATTTAATTTTTGTTGATCTATTCGTTGACGAAAAGTTATTCGACGGAACGTTGAAGTCAACGAACGACACGTATCTCGGTTCTTTTTTTACGAATGCACTTGTAATTAGTTGCGTTTGCCTTCGTTTCATTTGTGCCTAAATCGAGTTTATTTCGATTGAAATTTCCTATTGTTTCGTTTCTTTGATCGTGAAACTATAACGTTGGTTAAAAATTCAAAAGGTGCATCATATCGTGCAATTTTTCGCCCGTAACAGCTTTGATAGGTATTATCGGTGATACCGATAAATACCACGAATGCTGTTCGAATATCGATGGAATCATTTTACGAAGTTGGCAACTCGATAAGCTCGGTATCCGCGGCTTTCTTCCGTTTATCACCTTGTTCTCACCTCCCGCGTTTACAAAGTTCCGCTCGTCTAACGCGCGGTTCTCACGTTAAAACAGCAAGGAAGGGATAACGGTCGTGGTATGGTCAGACTCGACGAAGTAGCTGGATTTGAGCGGGGGTTGGCATGAGCGGGCGGTAGAGGGAGAGTGGATCGGTGACTAGGAGATGGAAGGGAGGGAAACCGAGCGGCTTGCTGGTTTCACAGCGCGTGCCGCTTCAGCGCCAGATGGCTTTCAAAGTGCAAGAGAGATAGCAGGATCTTGCTCCGTATACGTGCCCTCTTCTCGCTTATTACCCCCCCAAGGTAGCGGGTGTATGGTTACGCAAGCAAGGAAGAAAGGAAACGAAACGTAGCCAACATTTCCAAATAATCTCTTCTGTTTTGCATTTCTTTTATTTTTCCTTCTTCCATTAATTTCTTAGATATTGTATTAAATTTCTTATTCCTATTTAAAAGTTTTTTTATATCTATATAGAAATCAACTTTATCTAACTAGATCAATTTTTAAACGAACATTTTTGTTATGTGTAATATATGTAAGTAGTATATATGTAATAATCGTATTCAATACAAAATATTATATATTTTCGATCTTGATCACGATTTTAAATCGCGATATGATATTCCATAGTTGATGAAACTCATGTACGTGAGTGGAACAAAACAAGGAACGTTCGCAAAAAAAAAGAAAGAAGATTGCCGACTCGTGAAACGATTCGCAAAGATGCGTGTAATAACGTGCGATGGGTTCTATTGGCCGAAAAGCAACCGTACTTCGGATTGTCGCACGTTCGTATCCCACTCTCGCTCGAACAGATCGGACGATCTTGCTCGAAGCGCATGGTATCCGTAGGATCGAGAGGGGACGATGGAGGGGCGAAAAGGACACGAAGGCGAACGAAGCGCGTCGAACGCGCGACTCGGCTCTTTAGTTGAGTACCAGCCACCGTTGGTGTCGTGTCAGGGTGGTCGATGTGCTCATTCGCCACGTGTGTGAGAGAGAAAGAGAGAACGAGTAGCTCATTAACGATGGATTTTTTCTCGCATAGTGTATAACCGGTCTGTAGCGGTCGTTCGTTTGTTCG